CCCAAGCAGCTGGGACCACAGGTACATGACACCACACCAGGCTAATTTTTATTTTTTTGTAAAGACAGGGTATCACTATGTTGCCCAGGCTGGTCTCCAACTCCTGGGCTCATGCAGTCCTCCCACCTCAGCCTCCCAAAGTGCTGGGATCAAAGGCATCAGCCACCATGCCCAATCTTTTATTCTAAAAGATGGAGTTACAAGTCCACATTCTTGCTGAGGAAACTACACAACCAGTCTTCTAACTTTCTTTTAATCAAAGGAGCACTGTTACTCTGATAGATTTTGTTGGGGGAGGGAAGCAACAAATGTTATTTACTTGGTTATTCAAGTTTGCCTTGATTCAGTGTGGTCATTTATAATTCAGGGAAGTCTAGCGACCCTGGTTTCATCTTAAAGCAAAGCTTGGCGTATCCTAACAACTCCACATGTTGTGAGGCTATGTACATGCTCAGTGCTCTCCCCCTACTCCAACACACTGGAAAATGGTCAAGGAAGCCTGTCAGCAGTGTGAGCACCAGGGGGTTTCATCTAGTATTGTGGAAGTGGTGTGGTAAAAACTTCATTGCTGTGTTCCCAGCATCCAGCAAAGTGCCTGGCATAAAATAGGCATTTAAACATAAATGTTATGGAGCAGATCACAATACATTTTTAAACAGATCCCTTTCTCTTTCTCTTTCTCTCTCTCTCTCTCTCTCTCTCTCTTTCTCTCTCTCTCTCTCTGATTCAGGATCCCCAAGAAGACTAATGTGCATTTTTTCATTTGTTTTCCATGGCATTGACATTTATGAAGAGTCTGGGCTAGTTGTAGAATGTCTGCAGTTCTGGATTTATGCCAGAGTGCTTTTTAAAAAATATAAATCAGGACCAGGCGTGGTGGCTCATGCCTGTAATCCCAGAACTTTGGGAGGCTGAGGCAGGTGGATCACCTGAGGTGAGGAGTTCAAGACCAGCCTGACCAACATGGTGAAACCCTGTCTACTAAAAACACAAAATTAGCCGGGTGTGGTGGCATAGGCCTGTAGTCCCAGCTAATCAGGTGGCTGAGGCAGGAGAATTGCTTGAACCTTGGAGGCAGAGGTTGCAGTGAGCTGAGAGTGTACCACTGCACTCCAGCCTGGGCAACAAGACCAAAACTCCATCTAAAAAAAAAAAAATTCACACACACACACACACACACATATATATACACACATATACATATATAGAAAAATAAGATGAAGTTATTCCCATGTTTAAAACCTTCCACTGACTTCCTATAATATTTAGAAAATAAAGTCCAAACTCACTACCCTGGCTTACAAAGGCCTACATTGCCTTTTTTATGTTTTCTTCTTTCTCACAGTGGCCTTCCTCCAGTTTCTCAAGTCCACGAAGCTCTCAAATCCTGCAAAATCCTCACAGGATTTTGCATTGGCTGCTGCCTTTGCCTAATGTGCTTTTCCCTGAAGTTTGCTTGAAGGCTGCCTCCTTCTCATAATTCAAATCCCAGTTTGAATGCCATTTTCTCAGAGAGACCTTCCTTATCTTGGCCCCCAATCTGAAACAGTCACTTACTCACTCTCATATCACCCTTCTTTTAACTCTCTGCATGGTACCTATCATATTTTTTCTTTTTCTTTCTTTTTTTTTTTCTTTCTCTTTTTTCTTTCTTTTTTTTTTTTTGAGACAGAGTCTCGCTCTGTTACCCAGGCTGGAGTGCAGTGGCGTGATCTCGGCTCACTGCGAGTTCAGCCTCCCAGGTTCATGTCATTCTCCTGCCTCAGCCTCTACAGGAACCTGCCACCACTTCCAGCTAATTTTTTGTATTTTTTTTAGTAGAGATGGGGTTTCACTGTGTTGGCCAGGATGGTCTCGATCTCCTGACCGCGTGATCCACCCTCCTTGGCCTCCCAAAGTGCTGGGATTACAGGCTTGAATCCCAGTCTCTTTTTTCTTTTTTGAAGCAGGGTCTAGCTCTGTCACCCAGGCTAGAGTGCAGTGGCTGGATCATAGCTCCCTGGAGCCTTGAACTCTTGAGCCTCAGCCTCAGCCTCCTGAGTAGCTGAGACTACAGGTGTGTGCCACCACACCAGGCTAACAAAAAAAAAATTATTTTTGTAGAGACAGTGTCTCGCTATGTTGCCCAGGCTGGTCTCAAACTCCTGGCCTCAAGCAGTCCTCCCACCTCAGCTTTCCAAAGTGTTGGAATTACAGGTGCGAGCACACCCAGTCCTGATATTTTTCTTGTTATTTATTTTTGTTGAGCTCCAAGAGATCAGGGGCTGTGTTCTGTTGTGCTCACTACTATATTCCCTGTACCTAGAACAGTTCCTGATACATAGCAGAAACTTAATACATACTTGCTGAATACTGTAATGAATAAGCTGAGAGCTGAGGATGAAAAGAAGCCAACCATTTAAGGAGCTTGGAGGAAAATCTAGGCAGAGAGGAGGTCCTGAGAGAACCTTGAGGCTTAGTCCGTTCTACGGCATGAAGAATGCCTTGTATACTTGGAGGAAAGTGAGGCAGCAGGAGGGAAAAAATAGGAGAGAAGAGAGAAATTGGCAGGGGCTAGATGGCTTAAGGCCTTTTTCCCCAATAGGAAGTTTGGATTTTATTTTATTTTTAATTAAATGGGAAATCACTAAAGGTTTACAAGTAGGAGAGTGACATAATCTGACTTATGCCATTTAAAAGATATTTTTCAATTTGAGTGATTAGGAAGATGGAAGTAACTAATATCAGAGATAGAAATCACATACGTAAGAGAAGATTTGCAGGGGGAAATAATTTTGGACATGTTGAATGTAATGTTTTACTTCCAGCTGGGTGAGGGAGCTCACACCTGTAATCTCAGCACTTTGGGAGGCTGAGGCAGGAGGATCCTTTGAGCCCAGGAGTTCAAGACCAGGCTGGGCAATGTAGTGAGACCTTTTCTCTACTGAAAAATAAAATTAGCCAGACATGGTGTCAAGGTCCTGTGGTCCCAGCTACTGGGGTGTAGGGGTGGGGTGAGATTGGAGGATCACTTGGCCCTGGGAGATTGAGGCTGCTGAGCCATGATCTCCAGCCTGGGTGACAGAGGGAGGTCCTGTCTCTCTCTCTCTATATATAAAACTTCCTTTGTGGCTTTCACAGTATCCATACTTTAAAAGAATTTATGATTAAGAAGGAATTAATACCTACCTCTGAAACAGTACAGCCAACCAATTCCGTTGTTATTTACCAGAACCTGATATTAAAGATGGTTGTTGATAATAATAATAATAGGTATCAAGTATGGAGCAGTTTCTATGTGTCAGGCCCTATGTCAACCACTTAACAACCTTACCTCACGGAAGCATCATAGCTACCCTTATTAGAAGAGGCTTTATTATGTTTCATAGTTGGGGAAACTAAGACTAAAGAAGATAACTCATTCAAGGTCAATCAGATAAGTAAGTAGCAGAGTTGGAACTCAAACCCAGGTTTAGTTTGATGACAAAGCTGTTCCTTTAAGCAATTTGCCACAACATGCACCTAATGGGAAATGTTGCTCGGATCGCTGGTGATGGCCATCATTCACAGAGATACTGAACCCAGAGTTTTCTTGAACATAGGCTTTACCCTGTAGAAACATTTAAACTTTGTTTCAGAAGAGAAATATCTATTTGAGAAATAATCTAAGTAAATTCATCAGATGCTTTACCCCAGAGAGACTCTGGTCTTGGTATTTCGGTTTTTGTTGTTGTTTGAGACGGAGTCTCGGTCTGTCGCCCAGGCTGAAAGTGCAGTGGCGCAATCTCAGCTCACTGCAACCTCCGCCTCCTGGGTTCAAACCACTCTCCTGCCTCAGCCTCCCGAATAACTGGGATTGCAGGCGCCCGCCACCAGGCACGGCTAATTTTTGTATTTTTAGTAGAGATGGGGTTTCACCATGTTGGCCAGGCTGGTCTCCAACTCAGGTGATCCACCCGCCTCGGCCTCTCAAAGTGCTGGTATTACAAATGTGAGCCACTGCGCCCTGCCGGTATTTTGTGAAGAACAAACTACAAGGTGACTACTATTTTGGGGCCACCTTGACATGGAGGAGAGGTGAATGGAAATAAAACTTATTCTTCCCTGTGTCTTTAGAATGTAGGTGCTGAAACTGAGTAAAACTGCCACCCAATTTTCCTGGGAACCAGCGATTCTGCAGTCAACAGAAGTTTGCTTTTCCAACAGCTGGAAACGCCAAGATTGTGGCACAGCCTCAAGAACTGAGGCTGCCTTGTTCAGACTTTCACACGGTCCCTCTGTTCCTTCCACAGAGGCCTCTTTTTCTTCTACATCCCGCATCTGCCGCTTGGGACACTCATTCTGCAGGGCAGCACCAAGTCTTCCAAAAAGGCGGCGCTGGTTTTGTGCTCCATTTTTAAAGGGATCTAGGCCAGCCCCTATCTGAACTCCGTATGATTTTTTGTTTGTTTGTTTGTTTGTTTGAGACGGAGTTTCACTCTTGTTGCCCAGGCTGGAATGCAATGGCGCGATCTCGGCTCACCACAACCTCCGCCTTCCAGGTTCACGCGATTCCCTGCCTTAGCCTCCTGAGTAGCTGGGATTACAGGCATGCGCCACCACTCCCGGTTAATTTAGTATTTTTAGTAGAGATGGGGTTTCTCCATGTTGGTCAGGCTGGTCTCAAGCTCCCGACCTCAGGTGATCCGCCCGCCTCGGCCTCACAAAGTGCTGAGAGTACAGCCGTCAGCCACTGCGCCCGGCCAACTCTGGACAATATTTATTGCTCTACTTTTTAGTGTCTGAAGAAGAAAGAAGGGGACAGGAAAGAAACTTCAATTTGAGAGTTGAGGACACGTGCCAGAGCAGAGGAGGACCAAGCTCCCAAGTCCCCTGTCACCTTGACACGCAGACGGGTCGCCAGGACTGCGAAGAGTGGGGCAACCAGCGCCCCGCCCCGCCCCGCTGCGCCGCCAGCCATTGGCCGGTCCGAAAGACGCGGGGCGTTGTCGGTTTGAATGGAGCGCCTGGAGCCGGGGCGCAGGCGCAGAGGGCGGCGTTGAGGCCGGCGGAGCGGCGGGACCCCTAGGTGGCGGAGGGACGCTCGGGGGACGCGAGGGGCGCTAAGAGCTCTGGCCCACGTGACCTGCCGGGGGCGGGAGCAGGGGGCGCGCCGGCCTCCCGCGGTGCCCCTGCCTGGGGGAGGGGCCGTGACCACCCGCCTGTCGCCCGAGGCGGTCGCCGCTGCACCTTCACCGCGTACCCGGGACCCGCCGGCCCGCGGGAGGTGAGCGCTACCGCGAGAGGGGTCTGAGGCGTTTGAAGGGCTCTCGGAGGGAGGTGACAGGGAGGGGTGCGTGTGCGTGCGTGTGGAGCTTCTGTGTCCAGAGGTCTGGGGGCGACGTCCTTTGTTTTGGGCGGAGGGCGGGCGGGGGACTTTCGGGACCTGTGGGCGCTGCGGGGACGCGGCGTCGATGCTCAAGAAACCAGAAACTCGGCTTGAGGAGTTGCTGCTTTTTTGTTGGAAAGTCTTAAAATGAGAGTAAAGCGTAAGAATCTCACTCCCGAGTCTTTTTTTTTTTTTTTTAAGGTAAAGAGTTTGCTAGAGTCCAGCGACTTCTTACTATTCTGAGTGTGAGTAACATATTGTGAGTTAAAGCCCGAATCCCCGTGGAATACAATCCGAGGCTGATTGCAATCACTTGGAGTCGGGCGCTTCCTACCTAAACCAGGCAGTTTGTGGCAAATACCTGCGTTGACCGTGTTTAAATTAGTGAACTTTCGGGCACCCACTGGTCGATTTACGGTAGAAATTGGTAGTTGCTGCAAAAAGTGTGAGTAAACATAAAACGTTAAGAAAACCCTTTCTTGAAATCTATAGAATGCCTTCAAATAAAAAATGAAAAAAAAAATCTGAAATTTCCTTGTTTTAGTAGTAACCAATTAGAGCATTAACTCTGGTTAAAGAAAACGAGTAAGGATGGAAATTTTCTTTGCCTTGATGCATAATTTAACCGCACCGTAGAATTAAACGAAGTAGGTTCTTGGCTTTCCTTTCTGTCCGGTTTGCGTTGGAGCCTTCATGGGTTGTGTTGGAAGTTAACAGGACCAACCGAGCTGAGTTTTCAAGCTGCCACTTTAGAAGGGTGTTCCGAAGATTTCTGGCCTGATAATAGCCAGTGTGATTGCTTCTGATAAATACCACTTTTGCTTGGGTTCTCACTATTCAGGAGCAGCTTTTGTTGATTGTTTAGAAGTGAATAAACAACATTAAAAAGGGTAGATCACTGTTGGTTGACACGGTGTGTGTAAGGAGAGGGGGGCCTTAGGGATCAGGGGTGGTCTAACACTTACTCCTCTTTACAACTACCATGAGTCGTTTTCACAAGCTATCTCCCAGGCTATTATTTATAATTTAAGTATTGGAGCGGTTTCAAAGTAGAAAGTTGCCCGATGTTGTAGAGGCATGTCTCCAAAATCCTCTTTGGCCAGATAAGCAGTTTAGTTGTATTTTCTTACGTTCTTAAATCAGATATTCGGTGTTACAGACATAGTTTAATATAAATCTGAGACTTGGTTACTAGACTAATTAAAACAGTGATAAGATATAGTAGTTTTTAAAATGACCTTTTCATAAACATAAAATATTTCTAAGATCTATCTTAAAAATTTTGTAATTAGTTCTCTGGAATTTTAAAATTGAAAACGTGACATAGATTTAGGTTATTCTAAATTTGAATATATATTAAATCTGTCTATTTTATAATAACAGTTACTATTATTACTACAGCACTATGTTGAGTACTTTTGTTATGTATCAGAGCCAGGTGCTGGGTCAGGTGCTTTATAAATCATGTCTGTAATTATCACAGCACATTTTAGGTAAGTGTCATTATGCCCACACCAACTGAGAGTTTAGCATAAGATCATATAACTAATAAGTCACTGTGCTGAGATTTCAAATCATGGGCCGATCCCAAAGCACATACTGTATTTCTTCTGTGTGTCTGTTTAAATCTCTGCTGTGTCTCTGAATTCCATTTGTAGGGACAAGTTCTACTTTAAAGATGGCTTTAGGTGCTGTGTGTTGTAGCTTCGCAGAAATATTTCAGTCTTTCTGTTGGAACTATCTTGCTTCATTATCTTATAAATCATCTTATAAATCACATTATATTTTCAATATCCTCTTAATCATCTTTATACAAAACATAAGTGAAGAATAAGACTTTTCTGAGTTTCTTACATAAATATGAATACAATCTTTCCTGTGGAAAAGAAATGTATTAAAGTCCGGTTTTCTCACTGTTACCGGATTCTTTGGCCTCATCATAATTCCTATCTTTTTCCCAGACAAGAAATGAAAGTTTGTTGGGCATCCCTTATGTGCAAAGCAATGTCTTTGGTATTGTGAGATGGCAAGAGAATGCTTGCTATTCAGTAGTTGTTTCTGGTGTTTTTGTAGTATTTTTCTTTCCTCCCCATTCCTGCCTTATATGTTGCTGTTGGCTTATCTTCCTAGCAGAGATCCAACTTGGCTATTCCTTTCTGGGGAAAAAATACCAGCAAGGTTCCCCATTGTGTAAATAAAAGGCTGAGGCCGGGTGCGGTGGCTCATGCCTGTAATCCCAGCACCTTGGGAGGCTGAGGTGGGTGGATCACTAGGTCAGGAGTTCGACACCAGCCTGACCGACATGGTGGAACCCCATCTCTACTAAAAATACAATAATTAGCTCGTTGTGGTGGTGCACGCCTGTAATCCAAGCTACTGAGGAGGCTGAGGTAGGAGAATCGCTTGAACTCAGGAGGGGGAGGTTGCAGTGAGCCGGGTTCGCGCCACTGCACTCCAGCCTGGGTGACAGAGCCAGACTCCATCTCAAAAAAAAAAAAAAAAAGGCTGAATATGAATCTATGCTTCTGCCACATATTCAGAGTCTCTCACAATTTGTTAACTGTTCTAACTTCTCAGACTTCTCTTTCACTACTCTGAACACTATGTGCTTATCCTGGAACACATTCTGCGCATTTCTACCTCTCCCTTTTTCTTGAGCTGTTCTTTTCCCTTGACTGTAATGCCTTTCCTTCATTTGGCTAATAAGATCAAGCCATCCTTCAAGGTGCAGTACAAACTTCTTTGCTTCCAAAATTTTTCCCTGGTCCTTTTTAGTTAGAATTATTCTTCCCATATTATCTCAAAACATTATTGAATAGAAACATTTATTTTCCCACAGAATGTTGATAACTTTTGGGAAGAGAAGATAAAATCATGCTTACTATATTTTGCTATGGAGAATTCTAAACTCAAACTCTCTAGGGACCCTTTCTAAGCATTTATAATATTTCCGCATTTTGAATTTATTTCTGCTTAAAAATGTGTTTGGGTCGGGCGCGGTGGCTCACGCCTGTAATCCCAGCACTTTGAGGGGCCCAGGTGGGCGGATCACTTGAGGCCAGGAGTCGAGACCAGCCTGCCCAACATGGCGAAACCCTGTCTCTACTAAAAATACAAAAATTAGCCAGGCATGGTGCTGGACACCTGTAATCCCAGCTATTCGGGAGGCTGAGGCAGGAGAATCACTTGAACCCAGGAGGTGAAGGTTGCAGTGAACCAAGATGTCACCGCTGCACTCCAGCCTGGGCGACAGAGTGAGACTACATCTCTTTAAAAAAAAAAAAAAAATGCTTAGTGGAAAGGACCATTTCCTTTCTATTTCACTGTTGAGCTTTAAAATTATCATGTATATGTATTAGTTGATTGAAGCTGATGACCATCATTGGTAGTAATAAATGGCTATGTTTACCAAAAAGATTTATATATAGTTCAGATGATCTAACCTGGAGGCAAGAAAAGTAAATTATATATTTATTGTCTGATGAATGTTACCAGTTTGTATAGATCCATGGATGGAAGAAACAGACCAAATAAACAAACAACAACAACAACAACAAAAACAAACAGACCAAAAGTTATTGTCAGTTAAGTGCCAATCAGGATCAGATAGGTTAGACAAATTCAAAGAAGCACAAAATGTAACCTGGTTTGCAAACTTTTTACTGCCAATGGAGTAAAGCAGGGCTAGGATCTCTGATAAAGAGCTTTTCTTGTCTGCTCTGATTGCATACCTTGGACAGTGCCTGAAAGTCCACCTAGCTGTCTAAATGAAGTCTGTCTATTTTGACTTTCTAATTAGATAATTAAATGCGAGGCAGTTAGAGTTGTGTACTAGTTGATCTTTCTGTATGTTTCTGTCAATTCCTGGGATGTGGAAAAAATGATTGCCTTTTCTTTAGGGTTAGATGCTGTGATCTAGCAATTTTGTTAATTTTGCAGTTTTTGGAGCATTGCTTGGAAGATACTGTTAGGAAACAGATTTGTTCCTTGCAGATTGTTAGTTGTAAATAATAATGGAGGTTGAACTTGATGACTTCTCAGTATCCTTACAAACCTATCATTTATTTTCCAATTGTTGGTCCTGTGGTTAATTTTTCTTATCCTAATGAACAAATTTGTAATTTAATATTTGTTGCAAATTTTACTAGTCTTACACTACATACACACGCATTGTATCTAGGAAGTAGATTTGTTAACTCCATGTAATGAGGAACATGAGTGAACACATTATTGCTAAATTGGCTACAGAGTTCTTGAAACATGAATCATGAATCAAGAATTGCTTGTTCAGTGAATTTTTTTTTTTGTGAAGTGCTACCTAATTGTTATGGAGATTGTAATGTAAGAGGCACTTTTAAAGATATTCTTCCCTTGAGAATAGTAAGACTATATTATAAATTGCTCTTATTGAAATAGTGAATAGCATTCTGTCTTCTTGCTTATTTTGATAGTCTTAAAAATGGTTCTACATGCAGTTTTCATCAAGTAAAGTATTTTGCAACTTTATGTTCATTTACTTATTCGTTAATTTGTTAAACATGTAAATGCTATATGTTTCTTCTTAAGGAGTACGAAATTAACATTTTATAATGATTGCAAAATTTATTTAGAATTTCCTTAAGAACTCATGGATGAGAAAAATATTTTATTTTTTTAGAGACAGGATCTCACTCTGTGGCCCAGACTGGAATGCAGTGGTGCGATCATAGATTACTATAACCTCCAACTCCTGGGCTCAAACAGTCCTCCTGCCTCATCCTCCCAAGTAGCTGGGACTATAGACACAGTCCACCACACCTGGCTGATTTTTTAATTTTTTATAGAAACAGGGTCTTATACATTGCCTGGGCTGGTCTTGAACTGCTGGTCTCAAGTGATCCTCCCACCTTGGTCTTCCAAATCACTGGGATTACAGATGTGAGCTACCGGGCCTGGCTGAGAAAAATATTTACATTTAATATCAGTATCTGTGGGGAATTGGTTCCAGGACCCCCTGAGGATACCAAAATCCATGGATGCTCAAGTTGCTTATATAACATGGTATAGTATTTGCATATAACCTGTACATATCTTTCCACAAACTTTCAATCCTCTCTAGATTACTTATGATACCTAATATGATGTAAATGCTATGTAAATAGTTGTTATACGGTAGTGTTTAGGGAATAATGCCAAGGAAAAAAGTCTATACGTGTTCAGTAGAGACACAACTATTCATTTTCTTTCCTGAATATTTTTGATACGCAGTTGGTTGAATCCACTATGCAGAACCCACAGATCTGGAGGGCCTACTATAATTTAATTCTCAGGTAAATTAATTCTAATACCTCTCTTTCTGCTCCATTTTATAAATAACAGCCCAAACCTCATAGTGGATAATGGGAGACAATTTCATTGCCAGTTTAGCTATTTGTGTAATCTGGATGCACTTTGGAGCTATTGCTATGAGTGTCCACATTAATTCCCTTTATTAATTTTTTTATTAAGGAAAAAAGAGGCACAATGGAATTCTGAACAAAAGGAAAAGAGATTTGATGTGTTGATAGCTGCTACCTTTTTGTTCTTTCTTAAAATACTGCTTCCTAGCCAATGCTGTGGCATGCACCTGTAGTCCCAGCTACTTGGGAGGTTGAAGCGAGAGGATCACGTGAGGTCAAGAGTTCCAGGCTGCAGTGTGCTATGATTGTGATGTGAATAGCCACTTTACTCCAGCCTGGGCAACATAGCACGATCCCATCTCTAAAAAACAAAACAACAACAAAAGATAGTGCTTCCTTTTTTGGCCAAGAGAAGGGATCAGAGGAGTTAATATTTTGTCTTTCTTGCATGCTAAACTTGTTATTAATATGAAAACCTCATTTCCTCTAGGAAACTTCGTCAGTATTCCCAAGGCTGTTTCTTTCTACCTTCCCTCCTCTCACCTTACTGCTCTGTTCCCTATTAACCTCTAGCTGTACTTAACTGACAGAGCAGTGAGTACTCATTAGAGTCTGGTTTATGTTATAACTGAAATACTTAAAAGGACGTTATATAGAAGAGGAATTGGGCTTTATTGTATATGGCAGCAGAAGGAAGAAGTGGAACAAATGGGTAGAAATGGAAGGATTGCTCAAAGTATGGAAGAGTTTTCTTATAGGAATATTCAAAATTAGGATTAGCTGCTTTATGACCTATGTAGGAATGCTATAGTAAAATAGTGGACTAACTGACCTCTAGGATTGTTTATAACACTGAGATTCCAGGACTTTATGATTGTTTATCTATGAATTTATCTCATATATACATATGTATATCCTTCTTTGTCTTTCTCAATTGTTATCTCAGAGGTTATAATTTATATCTGATGTGCTGTAGCTCTCTCTAATGTATCGGTATGGATTCGTTTTTGTTTTAAAATTCTCAGTCTTTATCACTGAAGATTTTGCCTTTATTCCTCTATTTCTTTCTCACCCTCCTATTAGATATATTATAGGGCTGCTCATTTTATTCTCCTTTTCTCTGAACTTCTCTGTGTTATTTTTCGTCTGCTTATCATTCTCTCTTTAGCTGCTTAACTAGTACATTGAGGGTTTGTTGTTGTTTTGGTGGGGGGAGACAGAGTCTCGCTGCGTCGCCTGGACTGGAGTGCAATGGCATGATCTTGGCTCACTGGAACCTCCGGCTCCCGGGTTCAAGTGATTCTCATGCCTCAGCCTCCCAAGTAGCTGGGATTACCGTCGTGCATCACCACACCTGGCTAATTTTTGTATTTTTAGTAGAGACAGGGTTTCACCATGTTGGCTAGGCTGGTCTTGAACTCCTGGCCTCAAGTGATCACCTGCCTCGGCCTCCCAAAGCACTGGGATTACAGGCATGAGCCGTTACACCTGGCCTTAACTAGTACATTGAGTTATTAATATCAGTGTTCATGGTAGTTTTTTGTTTCATTTTGTTTTGGGGCAGGGTCTTGCTCTGTCACCCAGGCTGGAGTGCAGTGGCGTGAATATCAATACTTTTAGTAACAGCAATCAAAAACCTATAATCAAAATGTCCATCAACAGCAGAATGAAAAATACATTTGGTATACAATGGAATATACATGCAAGTTGTAGCTATGCACAACAATTGAGAAAAATCTCAGAAACATAGCGTTCAGCAAAATCATACAAAACTCAATTGTATCTTATTTAGGACTATACCGACATTTGTAGTAAAGTTGTAAAGACAAGCAAAGGAATAAGGAACAAAATTCAGTTTAGAAATCACCTTAAAGGGAAAAGGAAGGAGATGGGTTAGGTTGGACTACCCAGGAGACTTTAAAGGCAGTGGTAATGTTCTTATTTTAAACTGAATGGTGTTATATAAATATTTGTTGTGTCATTCTTTTTACCATATACATATTTCCCAAATTTCTTTTGTACCTACCCAATATTAATAAAAAACATTTTAAAGACCTTAAAGAGTCTAAGTAGAATATATTTTGAAAGCAAATGAATCCAACTATAACCTAAGTATCAGTGTGATATCTTCTTTGAAGAAATAAATTTACTGAGTTTGGAGTTGACTATTTCAAATAATTATTGAATTTTCATTTGATTTGTTAGTAGTAGTTTTTAAAAGTGGCAATTTTGTTTTTAGATGTTAATATGATACCTACTGTTATTCTTTTTTGTTTATAGCAGAAAATATTACATAAAATTATTAAATTTCAAACATTTTAAAAATTAAAGTACAGCTCTCAAATCTCATCTATTCCCACCCCTATTTAGAAGCTCCATGATGACAGTTAAGCCCTGTGCTGTCTTCTGTAGTGATTGACATGACAGCAGTCTGTGGAGTTAGCTTGTGATTATGTACAGCTCAGGGTTACTATAGGTTATTCTTTGAAAATAGGACTTCAAGCAAAGCATCTTGTATTCCTTTTGCAGAAATGTTGCTGAAGTGCTGCTGAAAGGGCCAGAGATGCAAGGATTTGGGACACATTTTGAACCTTTAAGCTGTCTGACATTGACCTCCTTTCGTTATTAATAAAGAAGAAGCAGGAGCTTAGGATGTATTAACACCAACTCATTAATATACTAACCGGACAATGTTCTACAAATAATTCTACACTGTAAAGGACTGGATTGGCACAAAATAAAATAATTTCATTTTATTCAGCTTATAATATGACTTGATGGAGGAAAATTTGATAAGCATGAGGGAAGACCATTCTTTTCATGTTCGTTACAGGTAAGACTATTGCTGTCTTAATGGATGACCTTTAATCCTTATTTTAAAATGTTTTTAACTCTGATGACCATTTCAAGTTTCAGATGAAAATACTCAAATATACCAGCCATAGTATTGTCTGTAGACAATATTTTCTTTTTGTTGTAAGTTTTTATGTCCTTTCTATAGAAAAATGCAAGTAGAGACCAATTGTGTACTATGGTTTGTTTAATGTTCCCTGGAAGAGTTTATGAATAATTTCTTTATAATTTGTAACTTTTTATATAATGCAAATATGTAAATGAAATATGTTTGAAAATCTTTGAGGCTAAAAGATGGATTTTTAAAAAATGTGGTCAGCTGAAGGACCTAACCTTTGCATTGTAATTTAATGGTGATCTTTTAGAAATGAACTTTTTATTTTTGATTTATTTTTATTTTTTGTAGTGTATTGTTTTGATTCCCTTCTCATTTCCTTTTTTGTATTTTTTTATTTTATTAATTTTACTTTTTAACTTCTATATTATTAGAGATGGGAGTCTCACTATATTGCCCAGGCAAGTCTCAAACTCCTGGGCTCAAGCAGTCCTCCTGCCTCAGCCTCCAGAGTAGCAGGAACTGCAGGTGTGTGCCACTGCACCTGGCTTTTTGTTTTATCTTTAAAGGAAATTTTATTTCACTACCATTATTACTATTTTAAATATTTACCTAATCCACATTAATGTAAATACATTATTATTAAAATACAAATAAGCACTGCTCAAAAGAAATATCACTTTTAAGCTTAATGTCTAGTGACATTTTGTGTTGTTTTGCTGATTTAATACATAAGACCACAGTTTTACATGAAGTAGTGGTAATCCCTAATTTACTTCAGAAAGCAAGTCAGGCTGAGGAAAGGCACCCACATTCTCTCACAAGCTTCACGGGCCCTAGGGAAATGGCCTGGCTCCTCTAGGACCTACAGTGTTCCCTTGGATGCCCAAATGGACTGTCTACATTCCAGGTAAAAGGTTGCAGATTGTAGGGACCAGTGTTCCCACCTTTGTTCTGCATCCACAAGTATCTTTCACAAATACAGCACACTCCCTTTGGCTATACCTTATATATAATATGTTATGCAAATGTATGTGTATTGGGGGGGATGCTTCCCACTGATCTAGATCAGGATCCAAATCAGACATACACATCAGGAAAGGAGTGAAGCAAGCCAGGAAGTAAGTGATAGCTGGGCAGAATGAAGGTGTAGAGTGGGCAGGTCTTCCTGATTTTTCAGGAGAGCACAGGAAATCTGAAAATCTGAAGTGTTTGTTTGTTTGTTTGTTTTGAAACAGTCTCACTCTGATGCCCAGGCCGGAGTGCAGTGGCATGAGTTTGGCTCACTGTAACCTCTGCCTCCCAGGTTAAAGCGATTCTCTTGTCTCAGCTTCCCGAGCAGCTGGGATTATAGGTGTGTGTCACCATGCCCAGCTAATTTTTCGTATGTTTAGTAGATACAGCGTTTTGCCATATTGGCCAGGCTGGTCTTGAACTCCTGGCCTCAAGTGATTTGCCTGCCTCGGCCTCCCAAAATGCTGGGATTACAAGCATGAGCCACCAAGCCCGGCCGGAAATGTAAATCTTTAATATGCTGTCTCCAAATTCTGAAATGTTGGCAGCTAATGCAAATTTTTTTTTTTTTTAAATGTGGGTTGAACATTTTAAGGAGGAGAAAAAGCCCTGTAACAGACGCAACACTCTAAAAAACCACACAGACAGGTGGGGGAGGTAGAGCTCGAGGTTTTGAGAAAGCTCCTCTCTAGGACATAACATACACTTACCCTGGGACTCCGAGGCTGTAACCCTTCTGCACCTCGAGGTCCAGAACACCAAGTGTGAAGTCTCCATCTCCTGGCCTTGCCCACCTCATTGCCCTCCATACCTCCTCATCACACCCTCCATTCCCCAAACCCCATAGGTTCCTCTGCCTCCCAGACTTTGGCCCTTATTCCTTGGATGGCCTAGAATGCCACTACCTGTCATCCTACCAGGCACTGCCTGTTGCAAGCCAGGGTGCCATTCTCATTCCTCACTCCTGGAGGGTTGCATACAGACCTTCCTATTGCATCCTTCTAGATGGGCTGCTTAGGTCAGTGTCACCCACAGACACCATGCACCCAGTGACAGTCTGTGAGAGCATGCGGCCCACCCCCATCCATGTGTGGAGCTCAGCCTTCGTAAATGAGCATTTTGAAGAAATGGGTATTAAATAAAACCAGAATAGGTGGGTACTTTGTAAACATGATAACCAATAGCCAGTTTAACATTTAGTGATAAAATATTAATGACATCTCTATTGCAATTAGGAACAAAACAAAACTATCTGCACTATGATTATTAACATTTATTCTGGAAGTTCTGGTAATTGCACTAAATGATAAAATAAATGCAAAATGCAAACTTAAATATTATAATCATTTAGTAAGGTGATTAGGGAATATGTTCTTTTTTTTTTTTTTTTTTTTTTTTTTTTTGAGATGGAGTATCGCTCTGTCCCACAGGCTGTAGTTCAGTGGTGTGCAATCTTGGCTCACTGCAACCTCTGCCTCTCAGGTTCAAGCAATTCTCCTGCCTCAGCCTCCTGAGTAGCTGGGACTACAGGCATGCACTGCCACGCCCGGCTAATTTTTGTATTTTTAGTAGAGATGGGGTTTGCCATGTTGGCCAGGCTGGTCTCGAACTCCTCATCTCAGGTGATCCACCTGCCTCGGCCTCCCAAAGTGCTGGGATTACAGGCATGAGTCACCGCACCTGGCTTTTTTTTTTTTTTTTTTTTAACCCCTTGAGACAGAGTCTTGTTCTGTTTCCCAGACTGCAGTGCAGTGGCATGATCACAGCTCACTGCAGCCTCAACCTCTCAGGCTTAAGCAATCCTCACACCTCAGCTTCCTGAGTAGCTGGGACTACAGCCGTGCCTGGCTAATTTTTAAAATCTTTGTGGAGATGCGACCTCACTGTGTTGCCTAGGCTAGTCTCGAACTCCTGGGCTCAAGAAATCCACCTACCTCGGCCTCCTAAAGTGCTTGAATTACAGGAATGAGCTGCCGTGCCCAGCTGGTAATAGATTCTTTATCAAAACTGTTACAAGTTAATTATTAGATAAACATCAGAATATTGTAGCAATTAATAGAATTCAAAATCTCAGAAGGAAGGTGTATCAAATTTTATATGTCTTAACATATTTAGGAAATAGGAGATTTATTATCCTGTAGAGTAAATGGTTCATGTTAGGAAGGTTCATGCCAAGGAAGTTAACATATGTAAGATGAGGACATTTCTATTAAAAAAGAGTTTCAAGTAAAATAAAATGGAAGACATTTAAGATATAATTAAGATGAGATTTTAATATATGAAATGCTCTCATCCTACCTGTTACATAAACTTCCAGAAACCTGGGAATTGTCTACTTTTTTCCTTTCTCATTCTGTATCCAGCATGAAGTATTGCTGGTTTCATCTCCTAAATGTTTCTCAGATTCATCTACTCATGTGCGTCCTTCCAGTTGTATGAAATGCTTGTTCCCTGGTGCCGTAAAGAAATATCACTTGAACATAAATGTATTTAGTAAGACATTTAAGACTTTCTGTATTTCCTGCAGAAAGGGTACACTCGCCAGCAGTTTTGCCACGAGAGTACACTGAACAAAGGAGACAGGGTCATTTATAACCTGACGCATCCACCCTACTGCTGTGTCCGGTTTCCATTGGCTGGAACGGGACCTCACATTCTGTATTTGTCCCGAGTGGCTAGCAACTTAGAACTTTTTAAAAGAGACAAAGGTAGAGGGCAACAAAGGAAGGAGGAAGTAACTTGTGGAATGTTGAGAAAGGTAAAAACACTTTTAAAGAAGGAAGAGGAACAGGTTATGACCTAATGCTTGCTTGGACCAGTATAAGCATGCTAGGGCAAATACTTAGGCTAAATTGTGGGAGCTAAGAACATAAAGTACATTGATTTCCTTATCGTGGCTAGCAGATATTTAAGAATGTTAGCACAGGTCTTTGAATAAATTTTGCTTCTAAGAGAAGTTACTATTTATTCCTAATTAGATGGGGAGGAAAGTCTTTGAAGAGGAACCTCTACTTTTTACACCACCATAGCTCAATTGAGATCCTCAGGATCTTCCTTCCAGACTCCCTCCATTCTTCACTTCTTGGAACCCATCATTTTGATTTGTCACGTAGTGGGCTCAGTCTCAAAACAGAGAGCTAACCGTGCAACCTCTCTGCTCAAAACCTAGGGTGGCTTCTTGTCACCGAGCCAAGCTGAACATAGAACACAAGATCTTCCGTTATCTGGCTTCTGCCTATTCCTTGGACCTTACTTCCTGCCATTCTTTAACTTGCACTTTGAGCTCTGGTTTCCTACATGTCGTGCTGTTTTATTTCTCAGTGTCTTTGCTCATACTATACCCTGTGTTGAATTCCCTTCCCACTTTCTTTGTTTAGCTAATTCTACTCAATATCTAAGATACAGCTCAGAGATTATCTCCTCCTGGAAACCATTTCTAAGCTCCATAGTTAGGCTCTGTGGCCTCCATGTGATTATATTACAATCTGTGCATTTTTCTTAGCACCACCAACTATATTAAAATTAAGTGAATCTGTTTTTATGGTACTGTCTTCCCCCTCACCTCTCCCTTTGAGCATTAGCTCCTCAGCTATGGTCGCTCCTCAGCAGCCATGATAATTAGCATGTTCTCTGGCACATATTGAACTTCAATGGAATATGAACATAATAAGATGTTTGTCTTGCTGAATGTTTTGAATAGTATTGTGCTTTCTAATATGGTAAGAGCAGTAGATAAGGAGGAATGGCTTGTACCTCTACCTGTTGGAAGATCTTAGAATTGTCTTTTTTTCCATGATACAGTTTAGATCAAACATGGTTGCACATTGCTATAGGACTTCACCAAGGGAAACTTAAAAATCGGTACTGTCTGTAATAGGACTATACCAAACAAATCCCTGACTTTATCAGTG